GCTAAATGATTTGCCCGAGGCCTCAGACTAACTAGTTTTGGTCCCCTCATTAAAATGTGAGCTTGATGTGGGCAGCATCTCTGGCAACAAGAACAGTGCCTGGCATATAGTAAATAATTGTTGCTAAATAAGTGTAAATAATAGTTGCTAAATAAATGTTTATTGAAGAATGAAGCAGATCTGGCTGACTCCAAAGCCTTCGCTCTTCATGATATCACCTGCTACTCTGTAAATGGTCTTTAGAAGGATGAGAGAGAGCAACTCATCTCTTTACACCCCTGAGGTCCAAAGAAATGAAGTTAATTTTCCTACATCTAACAGGAGTGGCTGGGTAAGGACTAGAAATCAAGGTTCCTGATACCTAGTAGTTTATTTTGGTGGGTCTGCATGGATCCCTTGAGGCAGAGACAACGTGCAGCCACATCTTCTCCTTGGGACAATTCAGGGGGCCTGTCTGGAGAGAAACAATTAAGAAAAGATTACATCCAAGACTTTCCACCTAAAAATCAAAGGCAACTTGATGCTGGAGGACAGTTTTGTCCCCCGGTAGAAGGGTAGACAATTTGGGGCTACTTTCTTATTCACAACGGGCCGGAATCTGATGTTTTGAGATAGGGCTGGTCTAGTGGTGAAGTCTAATCGGCAGCTGCAACTCGATAGTAACTACTTCATCACCCAGCTGTGTTTCTCCTAATCACGTCACTTAAAATGGTCATGGGCCTTGAACTTTTTAAGGAAGAGATATGTGTTAAATTAAACATCTTAAGGTTATGCAGACACCTTATATATTTTTGGCTGAATAGCCTTTTTTCTTCTTTTTTTTCATTTTATTTTTAATATCACAGACAATGGCTATGCATAGCCTACTGTCACTGTAAGTTAGTAGCTATGGTGACTCATATGTCTATTTGTTTAAGTACCTAATTAGGTATGTCCCTGTGCTAGGTATACAGTAAAATAAGTAAGCAAATAGATACATAAGTAAGTAAAAGTTTACGACATTTCCCACAGCATTTAGGAGATCATATTAAAGTGACCAAACATACACCAGGTTCACAGACGACTAAATAAACCTACTATCTGATATAATGGACAATGACGTAGTTACAGCTACACAGGTCAAGGAACTGGACCATTTCAATGTCATTCCTGCCTTGCTTATAAATTCTTGATCCTTCTTCTTTCTTTTTCCTTTTTTAAAAAAATCTCTGAGTATTTTGCCTGTTAATCTTCGCAAAAGTTGGAAATCTGAGTGAAGATTAAGCAGAGCCCGTTCTGGTTACATCCACCTCAGGAATCCCCCAAACCTCAGCTTCTGGCAACAGCTTGCAGAAAAGCCAAACAAACTGTTCCTGGTCTGGAAAGGAGTCGTCAGCCTCATCAGCAGCTCATGTCCTGACAAAGCTCCAACAAAGGAGATTATGGGCCGCCATGAGAGCCACGAGATGTGCCTTCTGCAGCTGACACGTCTGCCCCCTCCTGAATTCTCACACCGTGTCTGGTGCATGCCCTGGCAAAGCTCACTCCGCAGACACTGCAGAGTACCAGAGCCGTGTTTTCCTTGGCTATTGTTCCTCTCCTCGTCTCCACACTTAACAACACCACCCTGCACAGTGGAACACTTGGCCAGGAAAGAAAGCAATCCGGCCTGGATGCTGGGGACTGCTCCAGTCATCAGGAGGAACCCAGGACGGTCTCTTGCCCTTCTCTCTCCTCCTCAGTGCACTTCTGCTCCCCGCTAAATTTTCCATCTTATACATCCTTTATTGTTTTCTAAATATACGCATGCTAAAACCTCAGTGGAAGGACCATCTATTGAAACCAGAGTGATAGCAAGTAATGTGCCCAGCAGGCAAATCGCAAAACAAATAGAGGGTGCACTCAGCACTTTTTCTTCTGCTGCACAAAAGAACCCAAATAAGGCTCCTGGAAACATGGGTTGAGTAATCAAGTCCTTTTCCTGGATGTACAACAGCACAGCTTTGGGAGATAACGAATTCAGCTTGTGTAACTGTACACCCGTCTAGAGGAGGAAAGGGAAGCACAAAAAGAGAGAAAAGGAGAGCAGGCCAAACTTTGAATGGCTTGCCCTCCTTCTGCACCTGCCACGACTTGCAAGCAGAATAGCGGTTCCCAGCTGGCCACTTGTCCTGAATTCTGAGACCCCAGGACACCCATTGCCCTTGGAATTAAAGAATTACAAATGGAATTTTTGCACCTGCAAATTAAAAAAAATAAAAAAGATAGTGAGAGAACTTGGAAAGGATCCCTTGAAATGTTTCTATCACCCTTGTCAGGCTGTGTTTGCTGCCCCTGGTGAATGCTAACCAGACACATAAGGAAGGACTCTTGAGGACCATTTAGCTGTTTCACTGAAATTAATTTTGGTTCCTACAGATTAACCATAAAGACATGCACCGGCTGCAGGTGTGCCAAAGCCAGCATTAGGAGAAAACCCAGCAAATTTCGCAGAGATGGTTAATGACTCCTGCAAAATTAATTTAAATTGAAATAGGATAAGAACATATGGAAAGAATCAATCATTCTCCATTTTGAATGAATATTATTTTAGCATGCATAGATTTTTGATATAATTTTCTTCCTTTTCCTTAAGGGTCGAGATGTACTGAAACACTAAGTCTTTTTGTAAAAGAGAAGATTTTTTTTCCCCCAGGAAAGACGAGAAATGTGTTTCATAAATCTTTTTCCTTGTCTAATGCTGAAACATACATCTGGGGATCCACAGACACTGCTAAAAGCCCTCCCAGAAAACACAACTCTGCTCTCGGGGTAATTATGCTTTCCTAGTGTCTGGACACTGGCTCTAGCTTCCATTCAGAATAAGATCTGGGCCCACTTATTATGCATGTCCACATTAACTGGACCAGTTATGGAATTTAAATGTGGAATGAGGAGAAAGCACAGAGGCAATGGCAATAGAATAGAATTATAAAAGAAAAGTATTTCTCAAGTGCTTGGAAGGAAATAAGTACATTAACAAAAATCCCACAGCCACATGTTCATACTCTTGTACTCCCAGTCCATGTGCAAAGCCATGTCCAAAGTTTGGCTCTAGTTTTCTCCCCAGAAGAATAAAACAGAGGCAGGCACACACATCTTAAAGGGTGGGTTCCCAAGGCCTGAGTTACACCAGTAAAGCTTCTTTTACTTCACTGACATTCTTCTAATGCTATTTATAGTTTATTTACCTAAGTTATTTATATTTTGTTCCAGAAAATGTTTAAGGTAACATTACTGATATAAATCTTCATACACATCAGCTATAGTTATCAAATAAGTGTCTAGTATTTATTTGTTTTTTTATTCAACAAATACAGATTAAGGTTTTGCTTGTTTTAGGCACAGGGGAGAAGAGGATACAAAGCAGAACAAAGACTAGTCTGCCAATTCTTGAGGATCATACAATTTTGGGGGGAAACTGACACACAAGCCCCTAAAAATAAACTTAGCAATATTGTTCATGCAAAAATCATCTACTCATTTTTTCTCTCTTTTCATTTTGGATTTATTTTCACACATATTTATTGGATACCTATCACGTACCAGGTAGTATGCTAGGAATTGGAGATATAAATTTGGATATGAAAATCCAAAGAAGAATTTCAAAACAACATTCCACAATAGTAGGGACAGCAGGAAAGAAGTCGGGAGAGATCTATTTGTAATACTTGTGCCAATGAAGATGGAGCAGAGAATTGAGAAAATAACACATAAAAAAATCATTCCTATGTGGTTTGGAAAGAGATCCTAAATTTTGTGGAGAGCAGGGGAATAGGGAGTGGTGAGGAACTAATGACTGTCTAAGTCAGCTTTTCTCAGGCTAATGTTACAACTAATTCCTGTTCCCTGAGCATTCATCATCTGGGGAGTGAGGGGCTGGTGGGGAGGATTAAATCCAGATTCCAGCAGTCGGGGTTCAAACATTAATTGTGCAAAATCCACAAAAGAAGTCATCTGGAATTGGCTGTATAAATAATAAAAAGTAGGGAAAGAAAGGGGACATGAGATAGCCAGAAAAGGAAAGCTGGAGGAGAATAAAATAGAAGATAAAATCAGATGGCAACAGCCCAAAAGGGTAATATCCTTCCTCTGGTCTTGCTGACGAGCATCCTGGTTTAAATCCTTAGCCAATTAATTGACATGATCATTAGTTTCTTAGAGCTCCATCTGCTGAGCTAATCCCTGGAGGGCCATGACTGTGTTCTGGTCATCCGTATCTCCAACCCTCAGTCCAGTGCCTGGCCAAGAATTAGCCTTCAGTAAGTGCTGTTGAAATAGATTAAAAAAAAAAAAAAGTGAATCAAGTGAAGGAGAGAATAGAAATAAAAGTGTACATGTATGAAAGGTCCTCAAAAAGTTTGTGGAAAATGTATGTTATGAAAAACCACACATGGATTTAAAAAAATTTTTGCACCAAAATACTCGTAAACTCATACTAACTTATTATAACATGTTGGAACAGGATCTAGTTTGAGGCACTAACAGGAATAAGACATCAGTTTAAAAAGAGCCCCTATCAGAGCAACGTGAATTCTGCTAAAAATGGAAGTAAGAACAAACACCAAATTTATGGTGAAGTTCGAGTGGAAGAATGGTAAAATTATTGATGCTTTATGAAAAATGTATGGGGACGATGCCCCAGAGAAATCAGAAGTTTACAAATAGGTAACTCATTTTAAGAAGGGATGAGACAGTGTTAAAGATGAAGCCCAAATCGGCAGACCTTTCACATCAATTTGCAAGGAAAAAATGAATCTCACTCATGCTTTCATTGAAAAGGACAAATGATTAACAGCAGAAACAGTAGCCAACATCATAGACATCTCAACTAGTTCAGCTCGCTCAATTGTGACTGAAAAATTAAAGTTTAGCAAAATTTCCATTTCATGGGTGCCAAAACTGCCCAGATTGGCTGCAGACAAGAGCAGAGCTTTCAATGGAAATTTTAAAGAAGTGGGATCAAGATTCTGAAGCATTTCTTCGAAGAACTGTAACATGAGATGGAACGTGGCTTTACCAGTAAGATACTGAAGACAATGCACAATCAAAACAGGGGCTACCAAGAGGTGGAAGTGGTCTAGTTAAAGCAAAAGTGGACCAATGAAGATCAAAGATTATGGTAAGAGTTTTTGGGGGGATACGCAATGCATTTTGCTTGTTGACTTTCTGAAAGGCCAAAGAACAATAACATCCACTTATTATGAGAGTGCTCTGAGAAAGTTGCCCAAAACTTTAGCAGAAAAATGCCCAGGAAATTTTCACCAAAGAGTCCTTCTCTACCACGACAATGCTCTTGCTCATTCCTCTCATCAAACAAGGATAATTTTGCAAGAGTTTCAATGGGAAATCATTACAGTCCTGGTCTGGCTTCTTCTGACTTCTTTTTGTTTCCTAATCTTAAAAAATCTTTAAAGGCATAAAGGCCATTTTTATTCAGTTAATAATGTAAAAACAACTGCATTGACATGATTAAATTCCCAGAACTCTCAGTTTTTTAGGGATGGACTAAATGGCTGGTATCATCATTTAGGAAAGTGTCTTGAACTTGAGGGAGCTTATGCCTCTAGTCCCAGCTACTCAGGAGGCTGAGGCAGGGGGATTGTTTGAACCCAAGAGTTTGAGGCTGCAGTGAGCTATAACCATGCCACTGCACTCCAGTCTGGGCAACAGAGCAAGACCCCATCTCTAAAAAAATAAATAATGTAAAAAGAAACAGATAAAATTAACTTTAATAATATATTTTATTTAACCTACTACCAACAAAATATCATTTTAACATATAACCATTATAAAAATGTAACAGTGAAATATTTTGCATGCTCTTATGCATACTAGGTTGTCAAAATCTGATGCATAGTTTACACTTGCTATATATCTCAATTGAAACTCATAACATTTCAAGTGTTCAATAGCCACATGTAGCATGTGGCTGCCATATTGAACAGTGTAGTTTTGGATACTGTTTTAGGACTGGAGATACAGAGATGCAACATACTGTCTCTATAATCTTGGAGTTAATGGTACAGTAAGAAATATCAACATACAAGCCATTACAAAACAATGTAGTAAATGAGTAATTAGTGTGTACAAGTAATTAGCTGTGTACAAGATGCTGTACACAGAAAAGAGCTCCTTCCACCAGTAAGTAGGGTTTAGAAAGCAATAATAGGTAACACTTAAGTGGATCCTGAGTGCTAAAGAATTCTGCCAAGAAAACAAGAGGGTGGAGAGGGCAATGCAAGCAGAGAGAATCTTCACATCTCCATCGGCTCTAGCTATATCAGCTCTTCTCTGACTACACACCTGAGACAGACATCCTGCCCACCTCACAGGTGCACTTCGATCTCCCTTGTTATTTTGGTTCAGGCTTGAATGGACCTCTGCAGTCTTAGCACAGGCTCTAGGAATAGAAGTTTTCAAAGGAAACTCAACTAGGGAATAAGAGGGAGGTGGCGGTGTGATATGCATGTGGGGAGAATGCTGATAAACAGGCTCATTGAGAGAACATGTCTGGATCCATTTTCTTAAGGTAACGTAACTCTGCCCGCTGACGGGCTTCATTGGCTCAGGTTCCCCAGGCACAAAGCCCAGCCTTATTTTCCTCACCTAATCTGTTTCCTTTGCTATTTAAAAAGCATTGTCACTGGCCAGGCATTAAAGCCCATTATTCCTATCCTTTGGTGACATTTTTGTTACTGTTTTTCATCTTTTTCCCTTAAATGAGCTCCCTTGTTCTAATGGTCCTGAAGACTTAAGGAACAGCATCAACATCCCTCTGGTTTGTCTGTCTTGTATGAAAATCCCACTACTTTTAGTCAAATATGTCTGTCTTTTCTCATTTCAAAATTCAGACACCCTATAGGATAGCTCAAGAAATCCTTATTTTTTCTGAGAGGCACTGTTGGTTCTCTGCTCTTTGAAAGGAAGATATAACTTAAGTGACCCAAGACCAAGTAATGGTCACATCCTTCCTGCTTCAATTTACCTTCTCAGCATACTTTGTAAGATATTTTTGGAAGACTCACCCCTCTCTCCTAAATCCCCCCGAATTCAGTTTCCTAACATAAAAGTACTTCACATGTATCATAATAACAAAATAGGGCTGCTCTCCTTTCAAGCCTAGGGCCTCCTGTGAGGTTCCTCTGACCCTGTTTAGGGAGTAATCAAGTTCCCTACAGATCTCTCTGGGTAACCCCATAGTACTTAATAGCTGGTGAGGATTTTTAAGGATACTCAAGCAGTAATGGGAGAGGAAAGGAGGATAACTATTCTTAGATACTAAAAGAGAAGTGTGCACTTAACTCAGACAAACATTCTGGCGCCTTTCTGTATGAGCAGAATTCTGATTTCCAGGAGGTTGGAGAGCTATGGCTAACTGTTTACATCCTTTGTCTGCAGCAGTCAGATGGTATACACTGTAGTCTTATTTTCCTTGTCTCCTTCTTAAATCAACCATAAATCATTTTCAATGCCGAGCTTTCCACAAAAATTCCCTGTGGTTTCTCTTAGTCTCTCCCTCCAACTCTCACATTGTGATCCCCGTTGGCAATAATGTCAGCATCTGTTCTCCATACCAGCACTATTTGCGAATACTTTAAGACCAAGTCCTTGATTACTACTCAAAAGTTCAACTTCTGTTTTCTCAGAGCCAAAACACATACTGTGTTATCCAGTTTAAATAGTTTCCAATCCTCATCTGGGCAGCAGGCTTCATCAGTTCCTCCCATTACTCATATTATTTTTTTATTGCTTTTTATCCTTTTCTTTCAAATCATTCACAGTAGAGATGATTAACTTTGTCTTGAACATTGCTAACTTTGCCATTCTGAGCTGTGCTTCATTCCCTCCTTAAGGATCTCTTCCATCCATGGTATTATGGACTCTAAGATGTTCTTTCACTCCCAAAAGCAATTTGTTGATGCCACCCTTTTGCTTTCCCTCTGCATGGTCTAAATTCGATCTTGGTATGCCAGGAATTAGGTAATGATTCTCCATTTTAAAAAAATTACTCTTAAAGATAAATTTCTATGGTTTACAATTTCTTTCATCTCTCTGACTTAAAACATCCATGATTTTGTTTGTTTGCAATGTGTGTGTTTGTGTGTACATGGTTTGGTTTTGGTTTTGGTTTTGTAAGTGTGTGTATGTATGTGGTTTGAGTTTGCTTTGGTTTTATTTATTTGTTATTTTTCTAAATGACTTGGTTGAACAGTTCTTCAACAGAGCTGAGTGTGCCATTCTGAGCCTTGTTAGGCAGTCAACATTTTTTTCTTCTTTTTTGAGACAGGGTCTCGCTCTGTCACCGAGGATGGAGTACAGTGGCCTCTGGCCTCATCATATAGCTCACTGCAACCTCAAACTCCTGGCCTCAAGCAATCTTCCCTCCTATGCCTCCTAGAGTGCTAGGATTACAGGTGTGAGTCACCTCAACCAGTCACAGTCAACGTTTTTATGGGCTGCCCCTTTTTCATAGACACTGTGTTTCTGGGCTTGTGAGAAAATGCATACTCATATGATTGTATATGCATGACTAAAACATATGCACAAAACTAATACAGAAATGAAAACAACAAATTGAGGAAGTTATTTTACCAAACCCAGCAGATCAAAGAATCACAACTATATTGTATAAGTTAATCAGCTTAATCACACCTAAGTTAATTAAAGATATTTATGCATTTATATAAGGACTAGAGTAAATCATAAATTGTAAAGAAAATCACTAATATCCTGATACAACTACCAGTACTAACAATTTTTAAAGGTTTTCCATGTATTAGGTACTATTCTATATCCTTTACATTGAGAAATTCATTTAGTCCTTACAACTCTATAATATAGGTACTATTATTATCCTGTTTATTTATAGATGAGAAAACCAAGCCACAGAGAGATTAAGTGACTCACCCATGGTTTCACAGTCAGATAAATGGAAAAAGGCACAACCAGACAATTCACAGAAGATAAAATGCATTCTTACATGGAAAAAATGTTCAAGATTGCCAGTAATCAAAGAAATGTAAATTAAAACATTAAGAATCATTTCATACCACACCTCTGGGGAGGCTTAATTAAACTGTCACTCTCAGATATGGTCGCAACAATGTAAATCAGTATAAGCTTTTTTGGAATACCATTTGATAATACTTACAATGGTAAAGAGGCTCCCTTTAACACAGTAATCACACTCCTAGAAATTTATTCTTAGAAAATTATTCAAAAGAAAAAGCCATATGAATAAAAAAAAATTGCTGCAGTATTCTTTATGTTATCAAATATTGAAAGCAGTCTAAAGTTCCAAATATAGGGACTATTTAAGTAAATTATGGTACATCGATGAAATGGAATACCATGTAGCCATTTAAACTATAATTATGAGTAATAATGATAATATTAAAAAGTTATATAATGTCAAATGAAGAAGGCCAAATATAAAATTTTACCTATTTTATAATTGCAACTATGTAAAATTATGTGTACATATGTTCAAGGACCAGAATGGAACATAAAATGAAAATGCTTGAGATGTCAGATGGCATAATTTTAAGTCCCTTTCTTTCCTATTTTTAATTATCTTTATTTTTGTTGTTTTCCATATGATGGCAAAATCAAGAGTTAGGAAAAAATAGAAGATGCAGCTTCTACCTTTTGGTAATACATAATTTAGCTGGGCATTCAGAGAATCATTGACTTTTAGAGCTGGAAGGGACTTTATCTGGCTCTCAGTGCAATTTCCTAATTTTATAGGAATTAAAATGTTCAATAACACATATTTAAATAGGAGCCAGAATTTACAACTCCAAAAATGACTCACAATCATTTAGGGTACATTTCTTGCAGATAAATTAAGTTGCTAGGACCCTATCTTGAAATGCATTGTGTTGATTAAAATGACTATTTTAACTCAATTTTACTTTCTTATCTGCACTATCAACTGCCTCATTTCCCCACCTGAAATAAGCTTTATGCCAAAGCAAGAGCTCTGCCTAATTCTTGAATGTATTGTATGCATCATACATATTTTTGGCATTTCAAAAAAATGTCAAAATATTTATAAAGAAGATGAATATTTCAATAACAATGGGAAAGCTGCTAGTCATTTACTAGTGATGGAAACAG